ACTCTGCAAGTTCAGAAACTATGATTTTCATTACGGGCTTTCAAGTAGGCCAACTGTACTAATTGAAAATAGGGTCGCTAAATAACTACAAACCAACGCATGCTAACAAATTAAGTTAGGATTTAAAACATGCACGGCGACTGAATGCAATGAAGTCTTCCTGGGAGATCAGTCGGGTGAGAACGTTTTGGAGACTGTCTGTTCCTCCACCATTAGGAGGAAATATATTTTCAGAGTTTCGAACCACATACTTCCGGACACAAACAAGATGCTTGCTCTAATGTTAATGTGTGTGTGTGTGTGAATTTACTTTAACTCAGGAAAGCTCGAAAGATACCCCCTTTAACCTTAGGAGTCGGTCTACTAGGGCCTATAGTCCAGTGTCGCACACACAACACCAATGTCTGTTGTTCAACAGGACACATTTCTGTGAAGCATTGACCTTGGTGGTGGGTTCTCCTCAGCTTAATTTCAGACATTTTCGTCGGTCCACTAGCCGGGCATCTCGGTCAATGACTAGCTACGGGCTGCAATAATACCGGCAAGGACAAGTATGGGATCAAACCCCGGTCGTCCAGTCCATAGTCAGTACTGCCCACTATCTCTAATACAGAGTATTTTTACGTAATAAAAGCAGCAAATAACAATAAATAACGAAGTAAAAAACATTCAAATAATCAGGTTTAAAATGTAGTAAAATTAACTTTTCTTTAATCAATTTTCAAAGTAACAAGTAACAAGTAAACGTACCGACTGACAAAGTAAAATTTGTGCTATTAGGTTTGTGTGTGTTCACACACAAACCTGGTATGTCATTTAGCCCAAACTTCACTGCATTTGTTATCCAAATCATAATATGAAAGCACAACTAAAGCTGGTCGAAGCAATTAATATTAATTATGACTTACTTCTAGTCTTCACTCGACATTAGTTTCGATAAGCTGATCAGAAATCTTAGGATGCCAATGATGATACACTGTGACTATAAAATCGTGAGAGAAACTCCAGAAAACATACGTTTGCACCCGAAGCTTGAAAACCGCTCTCTGTCAACACGCCATCTTATCAGCATGACCAACCTAACGGCGCAAAATTTAAAATCATCCGAGGAATACATTTGTCAATAACGCACGTGTAGCATTTTATCCAAGTATATCGTGTTAAGCTTTTAATCGGAACCGGAGTAAAGTGAACGGAACGTGAAGACGATCACTTACCTCCATCCAGAATCGATGTTAAGTACATGTCGACCTTTACTAACACTCCCGCTTACTTCTTCGTTGTGTTTTACTTAAGCACAGAAGCAGCCTTACATTCATGGAGTTTTTTTGTAAACACACGTAATTCCTCTATTTGTGTTCCAATAATTTCTTCCATATTGTCTGTTTTGAGGTCTCTCAGTAGCCTTAGAATATCCTTTACAGGTCAGAGTGACATATCGAGCATAAAACATTAGGGTCATTCCGCCAACTCCAGGGAGCAGAATCTTTTTAGAGAAGCTGATAGTTGCTAAGTTAGTCAAGAAAGTCCCCACCTTTCATGGAACCCGAAGGTTTACTGTTATCTTCTTCACAAGAACCTGCGACTGGACCCTATCTCGAACAGATGAATCCCGTCCACATTCTCCAACCTTATTTATTTAATACCCATTTTAATACGACTGTTACTCTCATCTACGTCTGGTTCTCCATTGAGGTTTCCCGGTTGTATTTTGTACTCATTTCTTATTTGTTGCATGTGTGCTGTATGCCCCACCAATCTCCTCTTGTTTTGATAATCCTAATAATACTTGGAAACAAATGAAAATATGAAGCTAGACGATATGCAGTTGTCTCGGTCATCCTCTTGCTTACTCTTTCTCTCTCTCTCTCTCTCTCTCTCTCTCTCTCTCTGGTCCAAATATTTTCCTCAGTTGTCTATTGTATTCTGAAACACACCAAGTCTGCCAAACTTTTAATGCCAGATAATTTAAAACATTACTGATGGCAGTAAAATTTCGAGCGTTGTGAATCATGCCTAGTAGGAGTCCGTCGCATTGCATTTTGGGAAAGTCTTTAGCTAACAATAAGTCATAATAGTGCATTGGCCTATTCCATGTTCTTTAAATTTACTTCTTTTGTAACTAATCTTAGAAAATATCCCAGTTACTGTAGACAGCAGGAGTATCTTAGTCCTTGTGTACTTCGCTTGGAATTCTTAGCTCTGTGCCCAAATTGTGGTGTTGGCATAACGAACGTTTGAAAGGCCATGCTCCCTGTCGGGACAAACGTTTTGTACGGCGTCTCACAGCATCTAAATCGAATCGGACAACTTCACGCTTACCACAAAGGAGCTTGTTGTGGCTCAAATCCTCTCTGGTTTCAACAGATCCACCCTCAGTCCCCTTCGTACTCCCGACCACCTTCTCTTAAGATTCCTGTTTAACTAAACCACACCACGTGATGAATAAGCTCGTTTCAATTATATAGATCCTTATATCAACAACAAAACATATTTTTATTAATAAAGTCTTCTCGGGCTATCAGCCGTGTTAGATGTTGATTAATCGCCGACGTTTCGAGGACCACCTCTGTCCTCATTTTCAAGGCTAGTTCGCGTTACGAGCCACATAGTCAACAGTCTTGAAAATGAGGACAGAAATGGTCCTCGAAACGTCGGCGATTAATCAACATCTAACACGGCTGATAGCCCGAGAAGACTTTATTAATGAAAGCCGCCGTGAAAGCTTCACACCAAAAAATATATTTTATCGGTATCTCTCCCTGGGGGAAGGGGAAGCAGTTTTTTTTAATTTCTGCAAGAAACACACTACTAGATTTTACCGGCTGTGTATTACTCGCATTAAGAGTAGATACATTCGCAGATTGCTTGCTACCATGCAGTTCAGAAAATTTGGCTTCCCGTCTTTAAGCTCGAATCGTAAAAATCAAGATTTACAAAACTATAATTTTATCTGTTATTCTGTGTGGATATGAAACATTGTCTCTCAGCCTTTATACTAAATCTCGCTATATATCATGATTCTGAGCGAGTAGCATAAAAAGTCTGTCTTCACAATATGTGCTCTTTACGTCTAAAAGTGTCTCCAAAATCTTTTCTTCCCTGCAGGTTTGAACATATTTCCAAAGCGTATTACACGTCATATAGGTATCATCCTCCATGAACTGGCGACCCCAATATTTATAATTATAATTAGTATTAAATGGGACTTTGTTTCCCATTTATAAAATGATAGCAGCCGAATCCAGGATACACCATCACATCTTGTCTCTTTAAAAAATCTACTGCTGTCTTGTTATTACTCTCCTTTTCATAGAATTTAACTTCACTAGAACATTGGTTTCGCCATGTGCCAATGGGTTCAGGCGTATGTGTTTAGAGCCAGTAGTAGGGTTATCTGCTTCACTTGGTGCCCACCTGGAATAGACTTGCGCAGTCACAGGTTCGCCAGAACAATAGCTGGCAAGACGCACAGAATAGTAAAAGAAACGGTGAAAGAACTTCAGAAATAAAACGCAGAGAAAAGAGAAGAAATATGTGAGTACGTCAATACCTCGTGATGGAACAATGAATATGTGTTAAGGAGGGCTGTAATTACGAAGTAACTTTGCTTCAAGAGCGCTGAAAAGACTAGACCTAACTGATATTGGAAATGTTTGTTTACAAATTTTCGAATGTTCTGTAACATATATATAAGGACACGTCTCAAGTGTACTCGTCTGGCTGATTCACGGGACGTGAGTTTGAACTGTATGAACAAAACTTGTGTCACTCCATCGAACGGTTTGTATACTGGGAGTGGAGCAAGCTCCATCCTTGTATTACTCATTGTTTACGTTAAATTTTAACTTTATTGATTATTTATTGGTCTTATGGAACACGAAAGCCCAGTAATGCTAAGAAGTGAAATTCCGAAATGCAGCAGATGTACCCAGAACCGACTCAAAGAAATTCATAAAACGTAAATAATATTGGAGTAGGCCCACACACACGTTTTGTAAATGCTATATCAGAAATAAATTGATTTACCAGCTAAGGCTGTAAAATTTCCTGATATATTATTGAATCAGAAGTCACTCAATTAGCTAATGTTATTGAAAACTGAAGAATCTGTGGACAGAACTCATTTCACGTTTCAAGAATTACCAGCAGTATAGCAGGTCTAAAGGTAGTCTTACTACTAATGTAATAAAATGTTTGCTTCCTTGTGTTCTGTTAAAGCCCTTAACCATATCGACAATTGTTTTGGAAATTAAGTTTTGCGTCTCAGATTTATATTTTATGTCATGAACATTTCTAATGTTGAGCCTTTCTGAAACAATAATTCAATAAATTCAGGTATGAGAATGAAATAGAGAAACTGATATATTTAAAACATACGAAATAAAATATGCAATATGTATAACCATTCTACAGGACTGTATTCATTGTGTAAATGTATTTTCATTTAAAACCACGACGTTAAGGAAGTTGCTTATAATTCCGTCTTTAGCTGACCGGTGAGATAACCCCCTACCCGTTTTGGCCATTTGGTCAAGTTGGTCTCAGCTTTGGTTCAAAAGACACTTTCGAAACACTGTGGCTTTAACGAAACACTGAACCAATGGCATGTTTTATGAAAATCCGTTCAGAATGTTCGGATTTTCAATACGCAGGATGACAGAGGAACTGACACGGTTATCTCCCAAACGCGTTTTGTATTTTGTGCAAAGAATGTGTAACAAAGTTTATGAGACTACGCAGTTCATATTTCTCTTGTCCACACGTGGCAGCAAAGTCAGCGCTGAATACAAGAGGCAAAATACTAATTCTTCTGTGATGACGTGTTAATATTGTAACGTTATTGGTATAGCATCGAATCGGAATGCGTCTTATTTTCAAAATGAAAAGTTCTTTTTGAATTATATTTAAAAAAATAAGCGTGATCTCCCTTTTACGAGAACATTTTATCCCGTGAACTCTGGAAATTAAAGTCATACTAATTATTTCCGTTCCACTAATATTAAATGGACGCAAAGAACCGAAAAAAATGGACCATACCAGTGATTAGTAATTTTTATATAAAAATTCTCCCTTGTCACCCACCATGCATCACGTTTCACAGCAGGACGGTGGGACCAATGTCTGTTTCAACCCTCGACTAACACGTCTCACCCTATCCACCAACCACCCACCCCTATGACTCTTCATCATTGTTATACACCAGCGTATTCTGTGTAACTTCTAAAACCAACCCCTTCAATTTCCTAAACCCCCCCTTTACATGCCGCCCACCCCTCTCCACCAAAGGACCGTGTATCTACCCCCAATACATCATGTTTCTAACTTCTAATAGCCCATTAGCAGACTAGCATTGCTATGGTAGAGTTCCACCCCTTTTCACTTTTCGCTTCCAACCCCGCACGCGATGCGATGTGCTTGTGTCTTATAATGGGCTCATTTGCATACTAACTCAACTAACGAGCTAGCAGTCTCCTCCCGCGATGTTGCTTGCTTGCTTCCTCCTGAAACGACTTCGTCATGATTCTTGTAGCCAATCACAAATGCAGAGCTCATATATTTCTATCTTAACGTTGTTGGACTGGCGAAAGCTGCCTTTCTTCCACAGGGGTTATCTTAAAATAAACTGTATGGATATTTAAATAATACAACAGCTGATCTGTTATGACAATTTTATGAACATTATTCCGGTGGACCAAAAGAGACACATCTTTATTTTATTTACCTTCGTGACACCCAGACATTTTCAGACGTATCGTAATATTTTGGCGTGATACCAACGGGATCCTCTATATTGGCATTCGCAATTTTGATTTCGTCTTCAAACTGCACCACTAAGATTTAGATTTAATTCTATTGCTGAGAGTATCGTCTAATAAGCTATAAATTAATGACGTGTAATCTTATAAATGCGTTTTAAAACCACCAGTTTTTGTTTTTATTAAGAGCGTGCATGAACGTGTAATTGAGAGGTATCATTTATTCCTTTCTCCATCGCTCTACATACAAAATACTGAACAAATTTCGATTAAATTTGGTTCAGTGACATTTTACCTGTTGATACTACATTACAATCAAATTAGCATAGTCGCCTTAAAGTTACTAAGCGCCTCCTGTCTAGAAACATTGAAACTAAAAAAATAGACAAAAATTAGTTTTACCTTTTCTTTAATATGGGACAAAACTTAATCTCTCGCCGTAACGAAATGAAAATATCAGGATGGAGAAAGCTACGTAGTTACGAGCTTCATAATTCGCACTTTTCACCAGATATTAGGTAATCAAATCGAAAGGATAAGATGGACAGGGCATATGGAACACATGGAAGAGACAAATTTACACAAAATCTTGTTCGGCAAGCCTGGGAACACTGGACATAGATGAGAATATAATATTGTGTGCCGATGTTGATTAAATTTAATTGGCCCAAATCAAGGTCTGGTAGTGGTAAGTTGAGAACACGGTACTGAAATTTTGGGTTCTATACAAATCCTAAAAAATCTGCTTAGTGTAATTTATCGACATTTATATATTCATGTTTCTTTAAAATGTTACTTCTGCAGACTTGTCTCTTGATGTAACAGTTAACATCTTCTTATGGAGATCCTTATTATGTAGTTTTTCTCCGTCATCTTTTCACTTCTTTCCTCTTAGGTCCAAATGTTCTCCTCAACACCCTGTTCTCAAACTCCGTCTCTTTTGTGAGACATGAGGTTCTCACGGCCGCGAGTATGAAGATCTGTCTTCCGCCTTGTTGCGCCATATATTCTAGTACTTTACTGACGTTTCTGATGTTGTCTCTGCCTCCACCATCAGGGCGATGAGTAGATGGAGATAGCAAAAACCTCTGGAACGTCGGTAAACTTCTGCAAGACTACATGTCTCAACTACTCAGAAGACGGCCATCTTCAGTCTGTATTTTCCTTAATGTTGGGGTCCAAGTCTTACACCCCTATTAATGAACAGGAAAAATAATTATATATAAATCTTTACGTTTTAGATAGCAGAGAGGAAGCTAAAGGATTCTCCGAAATTAACCTCTTATACTGTTTTGATTTGGTACTGTTGTTCCCAAATGTGTTTAGCTATCGTTTCTTACGACATTGTTCAGTTATTTGCTATTTTCCAGTACAAAATTATTTTTTCTTTATTCGTGAAAATCCGAAATGCATTAACAGCTTCAAAATATAAAAATACAATTTTGGACAATAGGTATCTTACTCTCTGATCTGCAAGACAGACTTTTTTTAATTTACTTTTGTTGTATTTCACCCTAAGGCTTCATCCTTTTGGTTAAAAGTTTTCCTATGCGAAGACGAGGTCGTCGCATGGTCCAGGGTGTACGCAGGGAAAACTTGCCGGGAGTAAGTGCTGCTGTCACCGCCAAGAGGACATACAAAATCTCGGCATATTTGTTTCACAAGTCTAGTACAGCTATTAAACATAACCACTTGGTTTTCCAGCATTTGTTTCTGATTTAATAATTAATACCTGTACTATATTGTAAGAGTTTAACTGGTTTCCAAGCTACTTAACGATACTGAATGAATTGCAGTTCTTACCCGGCGTCGAAATGAGTTCGAGACGATGATTATGCAACGCAAAATAAAAGATAACAGTGACCTGCTTAAATATTCCACGAAGACAGCATGACCTTCACTCCGGATGAGTTAATATTTTGTTCAATACATAATACCATTTCTTTCCGTATCTCCTGAATTTGACATTTTGAAGCGTACTGATTGCGTCATGCTGGTGTTTGAAGGAACCAAGTACTTATACAGGTCCTAATGCTAATATAGTTGGAATGTCCTTGTTTTCATAAGTCGCTAGATGACGTACCTCAAGATACTGTTACATAATATTATATTATAAATTACATATTAAATAGACATATATATGGCATATATGAAGTAAATGAGCCCTTTAGGACATTACGTAACGAGGAATTTTGGTATTTAAACCCGTTACGTATTATTGCTGTGTTGTGTTAAGTACGTGGCTAGGATAGAGGAGGTGAAAACGTTACATAGAATTTTTGTAGAGAACCCTCTAGGGAAACGTCCACTTTGAAGACCGTGAAGGGGATGGGATGATAGTATTAAAATGAATCTTATAGATATGATGATGATAAACGGTATATAACTGGCTCAGAGTCGTGTCCAAATGCGTCTTTTGATATTAGCGGCGTCTAGCTTTCGAGATTTGCTGCTGCATGGTAATTAAATAGGAAAGCAGTTAAAACTTACATTTGGAGGCCTCATTCTGTAAGATGTCCGCAAATGTTAGCAATAACTTTTAGCGTAATTAGTGGTTTGGGTGCACATGCACTTGGAGGATGGTAGCCTGCCTCATTTGGTTTTAGCCCATGTAGGCTTTTGTAATTTTATAAAAGAGGCGTATGGTTTGGTCATGGCGTGTGTGAACCAAATGGAATTATTTTAATTAAATATGACTTCTGAGGCCACGATACTTTGTACTTAAATCGCTTTACAGAGTAAGTCCTGGAAGTTCTTCTGGGGTAGCGATTTGTACAAAAATTTCTTCATATGTTGCTGCCCGCGTAATTATTCATGTAATTTACATTAGGAACGCAGAATATAAAAGCTGTATTTTTTATAAATATAACGTACACACAATTCTCACAAACCAGAGATTCCAGATTTGTTATTTAAAATTTGAAACGTGCCATTTGGGGAGGGAACAATGTGATTTACAACTCTTTAGAAAGAGAACCCAGAGAATCGACGCCTCTTAAACCAAAATACTTCATAAACCACGCAGGGAACCATTTCTGTTCAATTCACACACTCCAAACCTATTTGGCTATGAGCTACAATTATGCCCATGTTCCTTCTTGGTCTCCAAACGACTGCTGTCCAATGGGTTTCATCACCAAAGTTCACTATGTAATTTTTGTTAGCTTATTCCTTCTGCATTTCAGCAACTTTTCTGTAGCCTACTATTTGAGTAATGTACATTTTATTGGAACAGTTAATCATATTTTAAGCTGACTAATCAGATTTACTTAAGTAAGGGACAATTTTATGTCGGAGGTCTTTTCGGAACGACATACGGCACTGAAATACTGAGAAAATTATTCATAATATTTAAAGAAAAGAATGTAAATGATTTCTGATCAGAGCAACGAACTATCTTTTCTCGCTGTATATGTCCTGCTACCCTCTGTTTATAAGACCAAGTGAAGCTATCGGATTCCAGATCATTGTTATCCTGTAAATTAATTCAGTGACACGAGCATCTGTTAAGCAGCAATCCAAAAAGTTATCTGCCTTGGATTCTGAGCTTCCGGGATTATGTTACTCTTCAATCAGAAACGAGCGCTAAAAGTTGATAATGTAGGGGAATCCATATTTGTTGCGGGTGGGCCTAAAATAATTTGTATTTGTATTTTATTAGCAGGGATAGCTCAGTAAGTATAATGGCTAGGCTACGGACCGAACGTCTAGGCTTCAGGTCCCGATAGGTCAAGATTCTTTTTTTTCGGAACTGCGTCCACACCGGCTCTGACGTCAGTCTCACGCATTATCCAGTCTAATAGGTACCGGGTTCTTTCCTCGAGGGTAAAGCGACTGGGACGTGAAAATAACCATTCACCTCCCTTTAGTGTCGAAGTTAAAAATAAATAGAGCTATACCTCCACTCTCCCCTTACGTCCTCATGGTGTGGTGTTTAGTTAATTACTAAAGATAACCTTACCTTTGCATATGATCCACATCAAAAATGTTTCAAAGAAAAGATCTGTATCTCAATGGATTTATAGCCTGTGATCTTTAGGCCTCTACTCTCACTCTTGATATGAGTTCCAACTGAAGTCATAAGCTGTCCTGCTTGTTAGCCTAATACTCCGTTTTTAATATAATCTTAGTTCCATTACCGACACAAACATAATACTCCTTAACATTCTTCAATCATGCATCTGGCAAAGTAAATGTGGTAAAGGTTTATTTCCGAAACGTCGGAATCTCTCTTCAAGTCCACAGGGGGTTACGATACAGAAGTGGAGCAGTGGTTGCCCATCACGTTTTGCTTTTTTTATCTTCTCGGCATATTTTACTTCCTAAAATGAAATTGAAACAATGAAATTGATAAAAGGTCTACAAAACACTTGAAGGTTGAATGCGCTATAAGCTGGTACAGCAAGCCGGTCTGCACCGCAATATACAGAATGTCTAAAAAATATGTATTATACACACCAGAAACTTTGGTGGCCGCTTGTTTGTCAGTTGCTTACCGCTGTCAACTGTGCTACGAAGCTAACGGTACTCATTTTGAACACCCACATTAGATACTATAATTCACAAAGTGCCAATGTTTGTTAAAAAATATTAATTTCATCATTGAATATGTGTGTATATGTTTTTCGGACAATGTATGTGCCAACTAGACCCTACAGCTACTATCACTTTTCTAGGTCAGTTTTTTCTGAGATGAATGCACACAAATGTACGAAGTTTCAACATACCTTTACTCACACTGAAACTCTAAACACTCTCAGTAAAACGTAGTGAATTACTGCATATGACACATGTGCCAACTAATTTTGCCTACCAACAGGACTGTTAATTAGCGCTGCTCTCTTGCAAAGGCAGGGTGAGTTATTAACAATTAAACCCTGTAGCCAACTAGACCAGGCCTCCCCTAACGTTACGTTAAGTCAATCAATATAAAATCCCTGCAAGCCACCCGACGCCAAGCATCGCGACGCCGAATCTGGGGACGTAGGTTATCGCGACACCGAAGCACATAACTTCTAGCATTGCTGCGCCAATCATAACGACGTCGAAGCAACAAGCTACGCGATATCGTACGACTTTACGTGAAGTAACCGTCTCTTCAACGACGTCAGTTTCGTCATACCTTATGTCGGCAATCTTCCTGTGTGTATAACGGGATTTCCCTTGTGGAGTACTTAGTAGTGTTTCTGTGTTTAACAATCTAATACCAACCTTCACGAAACCAGAGATATTTATATTTGTAAATGTATTTATAAACTGTGCTGCAATGAAGAAACTCCGATGTAAGTAAATCTGTTACAGGTAGTTCGATTAAAAAAGTCAGTGGAACCACGGTTCCGGAGAATTTGACGTAAATACGTCTATACGGAAAGGAAGTTTATATATTGGCTTTATTCTAAATATTTCCTTTATGCATGCTTTACAATTGAGATAAGTTTGATTAAGATATTGCTTATTCAACTTGAATTAGTTACGCTTAAGATGGGTCTGTGGTAGCTGAATGTAATGTAAACTAATGTAATGTAATGAAATGTAATGTAAGGTAAGGTAATGTAAAGTAATGTAATGTAATGTAATATTTTATAGGTAACAACAATGTCGAGTAAACAGATGACGTTTCCTAGGTAACAAAATTGCCGAGTAAATACGACGTTCCCTAGGTAACCATTGTTATGTTACCTAGTAAACAGATGACGTTTCCTAGGTAACATAACAATGAAGGTTGACGTTTCCTAGGTAACGTAACAATGAAGTTACACTTTTTCGTAACACTTTTTTGCCGAATGACCCTTCCTCGTAGACGTATTTACGTCAAAAAAGCAATATGTGTGCTATTTTTTGTTAATTCCTCATGAACACAACTCGACTGAATACATGTTCTTGTCCTGTTATGGTAGCAGCAGCACTGCAATGTCGTCTGCTTTTCTCCAATTGAGAAAAACATCTACCTCTTCGCAAAGTAAGACCGGTAAGGAAAATAGCCTGTACTCTGTTAAAAACATTTTAATATTTTCATAGTTTTAAGTGTTGGCTTCTAAATTTCATTATTCATATTGTCCTCTTTATAACACAGATATCAAAGACAGGATAATATTTTCTTGCACCTACGTTTTTATTTTGTCATGGCCAAAAGACATGCTATCGGAAATTTTGAATTTATGAAATCCATCACACGAATGCATTATTCTTACAAGAAGAAAGCTTAAATTTAAAAACATAAGTATCCAATGTGTTTGTGCTTTCTTGAATTTTAGTCACAATACTGTCAGGCGGACTTTCAATTCACCAGGTAAGAAACTGCTTTGTTTTCAACAGATTTTGTTATAGTGAAACATTATATTCTGAGGATTTTTCAACCATCGGCCACAGTAGTAGTAAAAGAAGATATGGAGGTTTTAAGTTGATAGATTAATTAACAGATGGCTTACATCAATGCAGAGAAATATGTGTGATCGTAGGGTGATGCATTTTGAGATTATCGATACAAAAACGAATTTCCGGGTCCGCTGTTCGATGATGATGTATAATACAGTAAAGTGATTAGTTTGCTAAATAGTAGAGTTTTGTAAGATTTGAGGTTGTGTGTTGTTTATTCGCGTGCTTGAAGCGTTATTTTATAATTATTTTAGCGATAGGTGACGATAAATATATAATTAAAGTTTCATTTCTATTTGGTAGACGATATAACTTCGAATTATCTGAGACAGTCAGAAAATTTATACGTTTATCAGTAGCTTCAGACCGGATTATTTGCCGTCGAATAAGAAATGGTAATGTGATCATTATTAGTAAATTGGCAAAGGATATCGGAGAATCGATCGTACCTAATACAAACTACGGAATTTCAATGCAGTTACAGGAGAAACCGAGAAACCTAATTCATTGTATTAGGTTGTATGATTGACCTTTTAACTGAAAACAAAATATGAATCAGGAACGCCTTCTATAACGTGGCTTTCAGCGTGGTTCACCATATTTATGTATGAAAAATTCAACGAAGCGATAATGCCCTATTTTAAAGTAATATCCGAGGCTTAGAAAAACCAAGACAAACTTAAAATAGCTTGTGTTCTGACCTAAATTTGTTGTAAGCAAGTTTACTGTACCAATAAAAGTAAAATATGAAACCAAACAACTTCCTTGCGTTTTAGTTGACGTGTATTAGAAATAAGTATTGTATTTGTACTATGACGCTTTCTACATCCTTGGCTTGGGCCTATGAAGGGTCTACGTAATGTAAATAAATTCTATTCTCTTATACAAATTATTGTATCGTGTAGCCATCTAGTGGTAAGAATATATAAAGCTACTATTTGACGTGGCAGGCTAGGAACAGACAGGGAAGAGAAGGCTGTGTGCTTGTGTTTAAATTTCAATGTTGGTAATGTGGTGCCAATATAACATTGGAAAATTGTTTGAATAAGTTACGACTAATTTATAGGAATGTAGTGTAATTATTAATTTTGATGCGTGTTACAGTGACCGTAATGAATTTAAATTCTTTTTAAGGAATGAAAATTATAATCTAACAGCGTGACAAAATTATCTAAATGAATTCCCGCCGTGTGCAAAGTAGTATCAGCGGTCTTGAAAGGGACATTACAAATTACGAAGCGTTTTTGTCAAAAGTGATAAATGGTAAAGTTGATAAACCAAAACTTAATGCATGTAAACCTGTCCAAAATGTCATGAAAAGCGGTGTTCATGAAAGCTCATTTATGCCACTTGTTGCTGGTTCGTCAGTGAAGGATCTCTCTCCACCAAAACTAAGATCAAATTCTGGTAAAGTTATTAGCAGAGCATCAAGTACTGCAAACCATGTGCTGTGTAAAGAAGTTTTCGAAAATAATACAGCTACAGTTGAGGTTACAGTGAAGACTAAGTCTGCTATTGGCAAGTGTAGGAAAAGACCAAGGAGCAATACATCAGCTTCTGTACCACAAATTCATAGGCCTGTGCCAGAAGGTGAAACACAGAAGCAGTCTAGCAATATTCAGCATGAGATGCAAAACCATTCACATTCAAAACACAGATCACTTTCATGGGCACACATACTGAAAGATAAGAACACTGCTTGCATTATCCATAATGCAGTGCCTAAGGATGGAGATGAAATTGATCAAAAAGAAGTATATGCTAATCCCAGAAGATTGATACATAGTTCTAAACGTTCAAACAAATACTTGGTTACTGATGTTTCGTTAAGTAGTAGCACAAGTGATGCCAATTTAAATGATGAGGAATCACTGCATTGTATTGATAGAAGTATTCAGTGTAGTTTTCCAGAAATTAAAGTTAATGATGATAAACAGAAATTGCCATCAAAATATAATTCTAATAATGGTGGTACTAATTTTTCCATGTTCAGTCCAGTTAGAACCTTAAATTTACTGGTCAATGAACTACGTGGAAAACTGCAAAAAAGTGGTAAGTGAATTATATGTTTATGTACTGGTGTTATAACATTTTATATGTTTTGTGTGGATGGATGTTATATCACATAATTCATACCTCAAAGATTTGGTGATAATATGACTGATACTTTAATGTAGCCACTATACCATTTTTACAAGTAAGAAATTTACTTTACATTATATATTTGATATACTTAGTAACATACAACTTAGTATATATCTTCTCATTATCCACAATTGCAAGTCACAACACATGTACAACAGAAGTTACACAATTCAAATTGTGAGAAAACTGGTGCAGTTCTTGTGAAACACCAGCATGTACCATGTTAACATCTAAAGAGTGGCCTACATGAGAGTTTGGAATGCCATGCATTCATTCCACCTGTCTCTGTGTTTCACTGAATGAAGTACCTTGAATGTAGACATAAATGATTTGATCCTGTGTGCCACAAGTGATGTGCAACTGATAGATTTAAAATTAATCGTGCATTAAGTATTGTTTCTTGATATTAATCAATTACAAGCAGCATTTTTTATTTTGTGTGTTATCAGTAATATAATTTATGTTTCCAGAGGAAGATGGCAACGTGCGGAGAATTATCACAGACATGGAACATACCCTCATGTTTATTCCTTCACAAGTTAATGCTCGTGAGAAGGATCACATTGATGATATCCCTACTAGAGATGAAACACTCATCGCAAGGCCATATCAAGTTGAATACATTCCAATGAAACCAGCAAAAACTTCACACTCAAAACCTGTTGTCTTGCCCAGTGTGAAGTTTTCAGAACAGAGTTTTTCAAGGCAGTTTAAACATCGTTTGCCACCGTCACATGAACAACAGAGAGGCCCAACAGTTCTGCAGTCATCTGCACATACACAGCTTGTTTCAGAAGAAACAACTTCCGGAACACAGACAGTGCAAAGAGAACTTGAAGTTAAATGCGCAAGATTGGAATGTGAATTAAAGCAAATAGAACTAACATGTGATCAACTGAGGAAGGAAAGAGATGCTTTAAATGAGTAAGTTTTATACAGTTTGCTATCCACTTGTATTTATAATCATTTACTTTGTAATGAGTCTAGCCCCTTATCTTGAAGGACCTGTGGGTTTACATCCTGGGAACTGTGTTGATGCATTGATATGTTTTAGTAAAATTTCCTGTTACATATTGTGAAAAATTTGTTCCATGATTCAGAAGGTCACTGTTCAAGACACAAAAAACAGCTGGCCCAAAATATGTTACATAAGCTCAAGTCCAGCTACCAGTACTGATTTATAAGGTTAGGTGACTTAACAGAATTTTGCTAGGCTTTACAAATATTGGGAAGTGTATGTAGGCGTGGCAAAGAAACCAGTTTGAACCAAGGTTTCATGGGAGCATCGTGATGTTTAATTGCTTGGAAAAGGCAGGCAGATAATTAGAATAAATGATTGTCATTGTAATTAGTTTGATTCAGTATAAATTTAATCCCTGATGTATTTTAGTTCTTATTCAGAATGAATTCACACCATAGTTGTGCAGTTACAAAACAAGTTAATATTACAGTCAGAGATTTACAATAAACAAAGTGTTTTGTCTTTATCGCATAAACATAACTTTTATGCCAAAGAGATGTATTCTCACATTCAGTGAATGAAATAAAACATTTTAATAAATTAAACTGTTAAATTTGTCGGCATTGGCACTGTTAATTAGCAAGTCTAGTGCAGGTCTTCAAAATAATGATCGCTGGCTTTGTGGCACAGTTGACAGCAGTGACCAACTAACTGCCAAGCAGCCACCAAAGTTGCTGCTTTGTGTACATTATTCTGAACACTCTGTGCTATTTTCTGTAGTGAAGTAACCCAGCAGTGCTTAAATCAACATTACTGTCTGTACATATCTCATCTAAAATGTATTCTTTACTGGGTGAAAAGAGAAACAAATTATTTACCTTTTTATCCATGTCCCACTGCTTCTTTATGTCAATGAAATTATCTTGTCTTTCATCATGTAATGATAACTTCTGTGCAGTGAAAGTGTTGTTTCATTGAACACCTGTCAATATCTTACATGCAAGACATTTTTGTGGAGTATATTTGAAGGAATATGAGGACAGAAGACTGTACTCTTGTTTTTGACATGTATGGTGGATGTGAGATGTGTTTCGTACTTTTAGTTCTGTGTTATTTACAGGAAAATAGAAGGGGAGAAAGAAGAGTTAGAAGTGTTGGCAAAAAAAGAAAAAGATTACCTTGTAACCATTAACTGCCTTAGCTCAAATCTAGAAAATATGAAAAAAAAGGCAGATGAACAGGGTAAAGCTGTCAGTGAGTTACTTGCAAGCAATGCTCAATTGAAAGAGGAAAATAAGGTAACCACAGCAATCATTACACTGTTCAATGTAAGATGGAAATGTCATTACTACATTATTCAGAATGGTAAATAGTATATTTTGCAAAACCTTAGACTTGTGTTAAAATTTGCAGTTTTGTGCAGATTGTGGGATATTACATACATAGATTTGAAATTTCTTACGAGATAAGTAGGATTTGAGGATTTCGTAGCAGTGAGTATGAGGATAGCTGTGTTCTTGGTTATAGCATCATGTAGTTTGGTAGAAGTTTACTCATGTTCCATAGGTCCTCGCTGCCTCCATCGTTATGTTGATGAGCCCCGATCACATGGCATCTTTGTTTTTATGAGATCTCTGTAGGACTGCTGACAGCTGCTGAATTCTACATGTTTCCCATAGTTGGTAGGCCTTGAACTAATAATACCTTTCGTTTTTGCTTCTGTATATGTGGCACTCTTCAAAATTTTGGTAGGAAGAGGTCATTTTGGAAACCTAGATGGAGGTGTGAGAAGTATCTTACTGAAACTAAATTATTAGGATGGGATCTACTGGTGGATTTCTGTGAACATGGTAAATGAATGTTTGGGTTCCATAAAGGCAGGAATTTCTTGGTCATCTTGAGTGACTATCAGCTTGTTCCATGGAGTTAGTTATGTAACATTCTATAGGAATGGTGCAGAAAAGAAATCTGCTTCTGTGATAATGTAAAATAATCTTGCTACACATTTTTAATAACTTGTCAGCAGTCCTTAATTCTTGTTATGATCATATTATACAATGTGAATTACACAGTTTCTTTTGTATTTTCATTTCTGTTGTAGGAATTGCTTCCATTGCATGATGCCAAAGCTGTTCTATCAAGGCACCTTAAAGAACGTAGCAAGGAGGAGGAGAATATCCATGCACAGCTCCAGATAATGAAGCTGGAACGTGAGAAATTTGAAATCCTTTTGGTTAGCAAGGATAAGGAGGTGGAGAAATTGAAACAAGAACTCATGTAAGCAAACAGATCAGGTCCTTTCTCCATGGCCTAAAGTTCAACAGCAGCAGTTTGCTTTTGCATAATTGGTATCCGTTCAGGCATTTTAAATTCATTACATCTTTTGCTTATTTTGTCTCTAAATGTGATTTATTTTGGAGATTTTTTGCCCCGAAATATTTGCTTCGTCTGACGTGTAAAAGGGTAATTTATTACGTGTTTTCTTTCATTCCAATTATATTTTGTACGTCATGACAGAGATGTATTTGCCATTACCTGCTGTTTCGTATTTTCTGTCTACTTTATTCACCCCCCCTCCCCTTTTTTCTTTTTTTTCCCCCCCCCCCCCCCCCCCCCAAAGAAATGTTATTGACTAGAGGTGTTAAAATTATCTAACCTTGAAATGCATGTTAAAACATTTCATTTATTTAGTGTAATTAATGGTATGGTTTTTATTAATGCTATCCAAGGATTAACAATCCTCTGGTGCGTGTGTGGAGTGTAGAAACTGAGGTCACAGGACCAAGGAATTGGTTGGCAAGTCTTTGCTTAATATTGAAATATTTTGCCTCAGGAAAAAACATGAGAGAGTGTCAGGAGAATAAAGAAGAATGCATAATGAAGATTCTCTTCTTTGTTACTCTTCACCAAATACTGTTATGGTAATCAAATCAAGAAGGATGTGATGGGGGGGAGGGGCATGAGAGGAATTATGAACATGTAAGAGGTTTATCCACGATGAGTACGTTGGAGATCTGCACATATAGTGGAGACTGGATTCATCTTCCTCAGGATAGCTAGTTAGGTGGCTGTTATCTTGAGGACTATTCTGTATCGGTTTTGATACATATCTCTGCATTAACTTGTAAGGTTTTAATTTCCTCTGTATGCTGTTTGCAACCTGAGAGCCTAGATGTCTCAGCAGATAAAGCAATATATGTTTATCTTTTGTTAGTGTAATTTGATTTTCAATTTGGTGAACTGTACAGACATTCAGGTTATGTAATATTTACTTAGAAGTGCCAGCATGTTACTTTAATATAGAGTAATCAGAACTATCTGAGTAACCTGCCCCATTATTCCTTCTGACATGTCATTTAAATGTTTTTTCTTACTTGTAAGAATTCGTGAACTTTGTTCTGGTACTTTTCTAATTCTTCTATGAAGCCTCTGAGAATGTTTCATTTCTTGGTATATGGCCAGATTTATATGGCTTAATGAAGAGGAATGCATAACATTTAAAGTGCTATTAAAGCTTGTTTGGACAGTAGCATTTTAAACAAGCAAATACATTTGCCATTTACTTCATATAACCTAACATTCAACCTATTTATGGATTCCTCTTCACTTCCATTTATATTAAATCTGCCAACATGCTGTGTCATTTACAATTGTAATTTATTTTTCCTGCAGGGACATTCAAGCCTTTACTTCAGAACAGCTGTTGAACCTGAAGTCATTTGCCGCTGTTCATAAGACTGCAAATGAAATTGATAAAGGTGACCTTGATATTGAGAAACGGTCAATCATCAGTGATGATACTGAGCCAGACCCTCTGTCAACAGAAATAGCACTGTCTCTTGAAAAAGCCCAAAGAGGTAGAGAAATGGAGAAGCAGCCAGTGTGTTCTTCTCCCACATCTACTATTACATCGTCTGTAGGCATTTATCCTGCTTGGCAGAACATTAGCCGAATTTCATTATCTCATAAAGATGATGTGAACAAGTTTTCTTCAAGGGAAATGTTTGTATTGCCTCCAACAAGGAATAATAATAATAATATGAACGAAAGTGAAAATGATTCTGGTATAGAAGGTAATAGAAGTTTTTCTTTTATAAAACCCAGGAGCCCAGAATTTAAAAGTTTTCTTGTAGATTCATTATCAGAGAATGTTGCAACAGAATCAAGAAGTGAATCAAGCACAATTGAACCTAAAACACATGAAGAACTTAAGAATAAATTGAGGAGTTTATTTGAGAGATTAAAAAGACAGACAAAAATGGGTATTGGTGTCTCCTTACCAAGTCCACCTCGTCATTGCTCAGAGATCAGTGAGCCAAGTGGAATGTCCCAGTGGAGTGAAGTATCAGATGTTGTCTCTACAAGTAGTGTTAATTTAAACAAAGAAAAATTTGGCTTAAGCACTAGTGACACAAGTTTTGAAAGTAAATTTGAAACAAACAAATTAAAACATTAGCGTCTGCTGTCTACATATGCTGCATTTTGTGTGTGAAGACTGCATAAATTTTTAATGGCAGATATATTTTTGTATTGATCAAATTATTTTATTATATTTACGAGTCAGAAATAAATGAGAATATTGTATTCATATATGCTTTCAATTAAAATTTCCTGTAGCTTTTTTTTTCTCCCCTCCAAATTTTGTGTACCTAATAGAAGTGAGGTGTACTGGAAAGCATTATGTTACAGCTAATGTGCATTTCAAAGATTAACCAGGAAAAGTATGAAGCTTAGATGCAGAGCTGATTGATTAGGTAGATAATAAATACACATAGTATGTGCAAAGCTTGGAATTTGGTTTGTGAAGTGTTCTTCCATCTTGAATTCTTAATTTGTTCTGTAGTTCAGATACTATACAAGCCATGGTTTATAAGGAACAAAAAGTGAGGTACTGGCATGTGTCAAAGAGTGGGACTACACCATAGTACTCCATTTTGGATCTTGGTGTTGGCAGATCAACAGTAATCTTCAAAATGTGTAATAATTACTCCACATATTATTCCAAAGCTGTGACGTGTGAGCACAAGATGTCATATATCTATGCTCAGTCCATGCAGATACCATCATATATGCTTATGTATGATAACAAAAGACAGTCATACTTTGTGTAAGTACTTATTAACATATTTTATGTATGTTATGTAATTCAAACATATAACGGGATTGATGTTTATGTGCAGCAACTGGTGACGCAGTTGAACTGGTATATTAGCTCTTGTGGCTTCAGAAGTATTGTGAAATTTAGTTTGTTTTTTAGTTGTAGCAAGTGATTTAATGATGCAGCGTTCTTGTTTATTAAGAACATGGGTGATAAATTGTTAGGACATAGAATCAAGGTTACATTTTTAATTAATTAAATTTGAGTGATATTTGAATAAAATGTCACTGACATTTGCAAAATATTACAGCCAGTTTGTGAGGAAGGAACAATAAATAGAACACAGGTTTCTCTGTGGGTTAAGTAACTTAAAGATGGAAGTGAAGACAATGTGGATGGTGAAAGATCCATCTACCCAGCAAATTTGGGAATCAATTTAATGTGAGTATATAAGCTGTGAAATTGATTTTGTCCAACGATCTGAATATGAAGAAAGTCTGTGCTAAAATCGTAATGAAGAATCTTAGTGGCAAGCGAAAAAAATTACTTTCTTCAGACATTTCAATAAGATTGTTGGATAAATCCAATCTCTTGGAAGAAATAGTCATTGGTGAGGAGACTTAGATCTTCCAGTACTGTACAGAAACAAAACACCAAAGAAAAAACACAAATGTAAAATTCAGTGGTCAAGACTATGCTGACCCACATTTTTTTTGCATTGGAGGAATTATCCATGACAAATTTGTTCCTCAAAAGCAGTTAAACTTTCTTTTCTGCTTTCAAGATCTCGAATATTTATGGCAGTTCATTTGCCAAAAAGTACTAAATATTTTGCCCAAAATGTTTCTTTTGTTAAGATGATAATGTACCTCCCCAAATGGAACTTACTATAAAACAAATTTTTTACCCAGGAATAAGTACCAGTGTGTCAACATCCACCATGACTGATTTGGTCCCATGTTATGTTCTTGAAATTTATTAATTTGAGAGTCTTATTTTGTGTTAATTGATGACTAAACATCATTGTCAAGTGGTTAACACTCCTGCTTGATACTTGGGAGATCACTGATTAAAATCTCAGGATAACACCTATTCAAAACATTTTTTGATACATTGAATGTTTAATAAACTACAAGAAAAATAAGTTATAATCTTGGTAGTGTTGATTGCTGTGAGTCAGTATGTTGGAATTTGCAAAATGGAACTAATGATTGACATTTATGTCTTTTCCTTGAAAATTTATAGCAATTAAAGTTGTTCTTGGTGTTTAACTATACACTGTGCCATTCTTAACTTCAGCACATTGGACAGCTTCATGCCCTGGCTGTTTTACGTCCATGGAGAGAGCCCTGGTGCCCTTCAGACAGGAGGGTAGGTGATCCCCAGAGCTGGCCTGGAAGCTGTGATGAAAAGAAAACCGCCTTTCTGGGATCAAATTCCAGGCATCTGGGCCAGAGCCAAGTCACTGTACTGACTGAGTTACCCTGGCTCAGTGAAAGTTAATGTGATGAAGTACACATACGAGGGTCGCTCATTAAGTAATGCCCCACATTTTTTTCCTCAGAACATATTTATTCAAGATGGCTCAAATTTAGTGACAATATAAATCAATGTTTCCTTTACACATACTATTTTTCCACATAGTCCCCATCAACTTGTACGGTTTTACGCCAGCGTGGAACAAGGGCATGCATGCCTTGCCGGTACCAGCTCTTGTCCTGTGCACGTAGCCATGTCCTCACTGCTTGAATCACGCTCTCGTCATCTTCAAATCTTGTTCCGCGGATAGCATCTTTAAGGGGCCCAAAGAGATGGAAGTCGGAGGGTGCCAGATCTGGACTGTAGGGGGGATGGGGTAGCACCGTCCAACCCAATTTGGTGATTTCTTCCCGGGTTCTCAGACTTGTGTGAGGGCGTGCATTGTCGTGCAGGAGCAAAATTTCTGCTGGATGCTTGTGAGGCCGAACTCGTCGAAAACGCTTCTTGAGGGTTTTCAGGGTCCTGATGTACGCGTCTGAATTGATGGTCGCACCTCTTGGCATCACATCCACAAGAATGACCCCATCACTGTCCCAAAAGACAGTCATCATGACTTTTCCGGCGGAGGGAGTTGTCTTGAATTTCTTCTTTCTCGGTGATTGAGGATGATGCCACTCCATTGACTGCCTTTTTGTCTCTGGCTCAAAGTGGTGTATCCAGGTTTCGTCACCTGTAATGATCCGGGACAGAAAGACCTCTCCCTCAGCATCAAAACGCTCCAACAATTCAGAAGAAATCGTTTTCCTTTGAATCCTGTGGTCTGCTGTGAGACTTCGTGGAACCCATCTTGCGCACACCTTCGAATATGCAAGAGCCCGGATAATTGCAATCACACTTCCATTGCTGACTGAAAGCTGTTGGGCCAATTGTCGAGTTGTGATGCGCCGATCCTCACGAATAATGGCATCCGCGCGGTTCAACATGTCTGGAGTGGTGGCTGTGGCAGGACGCCCAGAGCGCGGCAGATCACGGAGCTCGGTTTCTTCACTTCCTGAAGCTTTAACTCTCTTAGCCCAGCGACCAACGGTGCTCCTATCGACTGCACAGCTTCCATACACAGCACACAAACGTTTATGAATGTTCACCACCGTTTCTTTTTCAGCAACAAGGAATTCAATTACAGCTCGTTGCTTGTAACGAGAGTCGTTCACAGACGCCATTTTAACAGTTCACTACAGCTCCGCTATCGGTTGGAATCATTTGAAACTCCGTACACGAACGCGGGAAACATCAAATCTCAAGCATGTAAAAGTACACTTTTCTATCTTCAGTATTGGCTGAGAAAAAAAATGTGGGGCATTACTTAATGAGCGACCCTCGTAAAAAATGTCACAATTTTTAATTGTATTCGGGAGAGGCCTCTTTTCTAACCGCGGTCATCTAAACGGCTATTCTGAAGATTTCCCTCCGGGTGAAGATCGAGATAGTAGGCCTACTTCGAAATGAACCAAGGCAGATTATTTTACGTTTCCAATCATCTGCTTTCATTTGGCAAAAAGGTGAATAAGAGTGTAGATGAGTTTAAACTTGCTTCTGAAAGACATCCTGTGCAAGATATATGTCATTGAGATTAAACATTAGATATCAGGAAGATGTAAATTTGAATTATCATGCTACGAGCTTCATATCTACAACAAAGAGGAACATCAGGGACACAGGTGAGTAAAATCACAAAGAATGCACTTTGAAAATGTGTACTTCAAATTGGAATACACTTTTCCACTCTTTTACTTAATGCTGAAGAATACAAAGCCTTTATGATTATTTCAAATAATTTTATGTAAATACATGTTAAGTAGAACATATGTGAGATTTATGAGACACGTGATGTAACCTTGTAGATATATAAAGCTTATTTTTTATGTATGTTTCATGGTCATGCATATTTTTTCAGCTGGGAATATTTGTATTACTGTCAGAAGAAGATCTGTTGCGGAGTCTGACATGTTATAATTGGTGCTTATCACTGCCAGTTTACACATGACATATCACCACATAAAAATACAGACTCCCAAGAAGACATGTCAGTATCATCTGTGCTCACTAGATTTTTGTTCTCATTTACTCAGGTAATTTGGGTCTTACGAGTCTTAATATTCTGTTTGGGGTTAATTCCAGGCACAGTTCATGTTTCTAAACTTTCATGACTGCAGTGTTTGTTTAGGTTTAAAAAAAGGAAACTTTTGCACTTCTTGCAGATACAAAATAAAATATTAAGATCATTAAACAGTGGATGGATTCCAGTCATTCAAACATATGTTTCAAATGCATGTCATTTTACAATACTGGTCACTGGAAGAAAAAATTGTCACACTTCTGGGCTCAGTTTCTTGTTTAAAATAGTCCACCAGAAATAAGTGGCTATTTCACAAAACAAATTAATTTGAACATATTTGAGTAAATGGTGTTGAAACATTAACACATTAAATTAGCAAGTAACTAAATATACACTGACATAAAGACAGTTTTTGCTGCTCAGATCTGTAGTCATCCTTTCTGAATACTGCAATAGAAATGTTTATCAGAATTGTATTCTACATGCTTCTAGTTACACCTCTCTTCATTTTAATCTTTTTAGTGGTTTAGCATCAAGGATTTGAGGTGTTCAGTCTCAGTACCATGTGGAAATACAGTCTCCTGTTTGTGCTATTGCACTTTGTTACCGGTGGGATAGTCAGGAGATGTTCAACAAGCAGTAAGTTCTTAACTGAGATTAGAATTGCATTTGATGGGTATAACATGCATGTAGTATATCATGTAATTTATTTATTAAGAGAAAAAATAAAAATGATGCAGTAGGTCAGATGGATGAAGCATTTACCTGCTATGTAAATGCTCTTTACATTCTGTACATAAGGCATTTGTAATAACATAAAAGAGCTCATAAGAAGAAACAGTTCTTGTTTTTAATTTTGTGGTGCATTATATTACAGGTTTTGCAGATCCAAGTCAGCAGTTACAGGTGTCTATAATTGTTTCCTCCGTTCCCAAAGACAAAGTTGCTCGGCGTCTTATTCTGTCATGGGATAACGCATCTCCAGTGGATGGAGAATGGATTGGTCTTTTTAATGAAGAGCCATCAAGTAGTTCTGTACCACTTTTTGTGGTACAGCCACAGAGTTCTTCAGGCTGGGTGGAAACAAACTCCCATGAAACAGCTTCTCCATCTCATGATTTAGGGTACATCAAGAGGTGTCTTGGTTTCTGGGTGGCATATGTAAGTGCAGACAACAGCACAGTGGTTGCATCATCATGTCTCCAAACTGAGCCCACCTGGATGTCTGACCTGGAGGCTGAACTGTCTCCATTATTGCTGAGACAGATCTTCTTACCAGGAACACATGACACAGGAGCGTATGAAGAATACAATTCATCTTCTGAAAGCAATCTCATTGTCAAGTATACCATTACACAGGTATTTGCTCTCATAAGTTCTCAGTTCTACAACAGGAGATTCAGGTTTTAGCAGTACATTAAATAATTGCTATCAGGTATGTGTGTCGCAGTTCAGCTTTAGAGGCACTCGTAGTGGTAGTACTGTAATCTGTACATACAAAACTGACTTTATGTGTTAAGAGGGATATGGTAACAGTAAAGGGGGAAAAGAGACAAGAAGATGATGTAGAAGGGATACTGGTGCTAAGTAATTTATATTTTTGGTTATATATTTAATTTTCATTACTTGGTTCTGCCCAAATTTTGTTCACACTTCATAATTCTTTGCCCTTTTTGATAGGAATGTTTCGTCTGAGACATATTCCGGGAATTACAAGCCAATATAAAATTAAAATAAAATAATATTTATTCAAGCAAACTGTTTTTCATCAAATTATTATTTTTAATTTCTGTTTTGATTTATTAGAGGAAATTTTATATTTATATTCTCTCTACTCTTAAGACTGAATAAGTATCGCGATAAAGGCAGGTTTCTGTCAGTGTTCATCTTCTGGGTTGTGACTCTGTGTGGTGGAGACAGTACCTAAGTACTAGTCCACATGGCTTTAACTACTCTGAAGACCAACATGAATAGCTTCACTGCCTTGGGAACCTCAAATTGAGGCAGGTTTCTGTTTTAAATATGTTTTTCTGTGTTACAAAAATTATTGTGGTAAAAGTATCACATATATTTTGAGAAAGAATGTGTTGTTATTTTATTAGTATTATAGGAAACTTTGTCACCAGTGGATGGTGGTGACATTTCTTTATGTGAGGAGACTGTTTTGCAGGAGGATGATATACTAAGCCAGTTGATCAACGGTGTGCGATACCTGGACATTCGTGCTGCTTACTATCCAGACACAGATGAAGTATGGTTTGTGAATCATGGTTTAATACGCATCCACCCGCTGCAATCTGTTTTTGATGATGTGCGAACATTTTTGCAGAACACAAATGAGATAGTGATTCTTGATTTTCACGGATTTCCAGTAGGTAAATGATATTGTTTGTGTATTATATTATTCCATATAATTTAACCAAGACATAATAACTGGCTAGCCTTGCTCTGGAGAATCAACTGCATCAAAACTGCAAAGCATACTAATAATGTAAGAAGTTTTTTATTCACTTCCTGGCAATGCAAAAGAAGTGTATTTTCTTCTTATTTTTTGTTGGTTAATTCTTCTAACAAACACCTGATCATACAAAACTTGGCATATCACAAAAGATTTAGATGTCATTAAAATATGAAAATCATTTTAGTACATTGTATTATATATTTAATCAAATGCTCCAAAATAATATCTCACGATGCACTTTGGTATCTGTAATGTGGTTAGAATTGCAACACTGGGACTTTTGTCTGCAGTGAATGAACATCTAGGCCAGTGAGATTTATGAAGTTAACAGAGAATACATTTGGAAAATAATCTTCTCTATCTAAAGTAAAGTTTCAAAATTGGTTCCTCCATTAAAACTTAAAATCCAAATGATTATTATTATACTTCAAGAACAATTTTTTTAACTTGTAAAGTAAAAGAAAGTAGATTATTAAGTTATTATAATTGTATCTCTTACCTTGTCTGCTGCATCCATTGCAGGTTCTATCCCTCACTTGTGGATGGAGGGAGATTGAATACATTTGTAATTAAGAAAATTATGAGCACTTGCCAGATTAGTTCCTTTGCATCATTGCAGTTTACATTTCTAAGTGGCACAGAATCCTCAACTTTCCTTCTAAAGAATTATTACACTCGCAGGGATGTTTTTTCTTTATTTATATATATATATGTATATATATATATATATATAGTGCTTGAGAAGAAGAATAAGAATAAGAAGTAGTATTTGAATGCTCCTGGGTTTTTTCGAAACAGACGTAACTTGATTTGCTGTAACGGGAAATTCTATACTTATTGTTCAAGAAGTTGAATATTCCAGATTATTATTTCTTGTTATCATCATCATCAACATCATCATTATTGCTGTCGTTCCGGCTTGCGAGTGCGCGTGGATAAACCCCTTTGGCTTATACGCCTGAAATGCATTGTGTAGGCTACGTGCCAGTCAGAGGCGTCAGAGAAGTTGCCGCGTCACGAGGGCGTTCCATTTGAGATTTCTATTCGTATTCAGTGAAACGTATAAATAATTGATTATGACTGTCTTCTGGGTTGTAGCGCCGTGTAGACTGGTGAATGTTTGCCATCGTTACAGAGGTCCTTGCTGCCTCCTTCATCAGGGCT